ACATTTCCTAATGATAAAATATGCTAAAACCAGAAAGACAAATTAGGGAGCGATTCATTTTGACGCCAATTGGATATTTTTCATTGCTCTGCAGGAACACAGCAGCTATTCTTTGACGGTAGAAGCAAGAGACGGCAATGGACAAGTAACAGATAAACCAGCAAAACAAGCTCAAGTTCAGATTCGTATTTTGGATGTCAATGACAATATACCAGTAGTGGAAAGTAAAATGGTAACTATTATTTTAATAAGTATACCTATTTATATTTTAATTCTGTTAATAACTAAAAATATGTCACTTAAGTTTGTATTACGTTAAAATAAAAATCATGCGTTCATGTTTTGCAGTTGGAAGGGCTGGTTGAAGAAAATCAAGTTAATGTTGAAGTTATGCGCATAAAAGTGTTTGATGCGGATGAAGTGGGCTCTGATAATTGGTTAGCAAATTTTACATTTGCATCCGGAAATGAAGGGGGTTATTTCCACATAGAAACAGATGCTCAAACTAATGAAGGAATTTTGACTCTTATTAAGGTAAGTACTGAGTGTTAAAAACTGGGATGGGACAAGTTGGTACTGGAGAGGAATCTAATGCATTTTGAGCCCCAAAGACAAGTGCTTTACAAACTCAACTGGCACCACAATTGTTTGAGACAGGAACTGTCCTTATTTGCCCAAGTTCTGTGTTTTGAAAGTTATCATACTACAGTTCAAATTCAGATCTGAGAACTCTAGTCCCAGCCAGACAGCATGATACCAGCACGGTTATTGCTTCGCACATTTCTGGTCTTGCATGCAGCCCGTGTCTGATGACAGCATTCTCACATCATAACCTCTTGCCTCCGTTGAATACTCCCTTACTTACTACCTCGTATTTTATCTACTTAACAGGAAAGCCAAACCTCACAAATAACATCTGAAAACAGAAACCAATAACTTGACATTTAAGTGTGCCTAGTAAATCTACATGCCAAAAACACAGATTCCTGGGTCCCATCAAAAAGTCTCATTGGGTAGGACTTAGGAATTTGCCTTTTTAGCAGAAATCCACTTGTGAATCTAATATAAGTAGTATGAGGGTCACATTTGAAAACAAAGTGTTTTAATCTTGTGTTTAATTGAATCAGTGAAGGAAAAATTGGATTAGTCTTGTTAAGCATATGAGTCTTATACATCTGGGTCTTTTAACCTCCACAAAACTTTTTAAACAAAAATTGCATGATGGATTTGTAAGTAACAAAATAAGGAATAACATCAATGCATTTTTAAATGGTTTATGTTAGAATTGCCTTACCAGATTTTAAAATAAAATGCAAAGCTACAGCTTTCAAAATACTATTTCATTAATTCACACACAG